ATTTAAATCTAAAGTTTCTTATTTAACATGGAATGTCGAATTTACTCATAGTAAATAGTGCTACCCACATGACTGTTCCTTCTCATTCAACATAGTGGAGGCTGTAACCTCTATCCTTTATCTGCTCTACCAATGAAGGACACTGCTGTCATTGACCTTCTTGAACAATATGCACATTCTAACTGTGTCTCCTGCAGGCAGAGCAGGTATTATCTGTAGAGAACAACAAATGAACAAAGGCAGCTTAACAGTTTTCTGGACTATGTCTTTGTGCAAAAACTGCATAGACTCAGAATAAACAAAAAAGTTTGAAAATTTCTCCATTAAAATACGGAAGTGCATGGTATGTCTGCATCCCATACTTTTCCTTCCACCTTCTGTGTCCAGCTTGTTCTCAAGCCGACAGTTAAATTTAACTTCAGAGCTAGTTAACTTTATGGTCAAGAAAATATCTTTTCTCTCCCCTATAAATGTTAACATGCAACATAGATGACACAACCCTTAAACAATAAGCTGCAATTCAAACATCCAAAATTAATATCATCAATTAGAAAAAATGTAATACATGATAATTGACACATTAACATACCTTTAAATAATGAAACAACACAATATACACAAAAAGCACTTTAACTACTAAAAGGTACCATATAATATGTAATAGAATAATCATAAAGAGAGAACCTTTTACTCATCATAAAACACATACACACAAAGAAAACAATTGGATACTGAAAGATACACAGTACAAAAATAGGCTGAGTCACAGTAAAAATCAGGCCAGTTTCCAGAGTCTTGAGGACTGGCCTAACCACTTAATCCAATCTTTTGATATGGAATAAGTCCTGTAGATACTGGTTATCATCTGTGAGATGATCCTTCATGCATTTCAATGAATTCATCTGGATACTTTGGCAAAGAAAACAGGATAGCTAAAACTGGCTGTTTGAATAAAGAGATATACAGAATGGTCAAGAATTTGATCTTAAGTAACAAAAGTCTGAATTGCAAATGCAGTATCAGTTGAATTCTAGTTGGTCAGAAGTTCGGCTAGGCGTATAGGTTGAAAAGGGTTATAATAGGTTACAACCATGATCTTTTTAAAAATCTTTTTGAGATGGTCAAACAACATTTCTATGGGCTTTGTTTGTACTCATGACCTATATTGTCTGTAGAAGATGTATCCCTAGTGCCTGGGATATACTCAATCCTCTTTCTTCATTGGGTCTCTAATTGTTCATTTTGTTTAGTTGTGCTGCCCTCTGTCCTCCCTGTTGGACAACAGATAACATGACTTGCTCTCTAACCTGGTTTAATTTTTCTCCCTACAGTCTGGTTATCATGTGGATAGAGCCAAGTTCCAGCATGAAGGAAGGTGGGTTGAGACTGCAACTGGGTTCCTACATCTGAGCTGACTCGGTTTAGGTGACACCAGTTCTTATTTTTGTTCAATACAAACCACTTCCTTCCTTTTTCCATCTACAAGTTTACTTCTAGTTTTTGGTGTGACTTACAAAGCTTTCACCACATTGGTATTATTTTCTGTTTCTCCTCCCCCCCCCCCCCCAGCTCCTAGTACACTTCCAAGCTGCATTTTATTTAATTGAGCAGCCTTTCCAAGTTGTTGATGGCAAATTTATTCATATTAAATAATGGAGACCTTAATCACTCCATCTATTCCCCTGGACACCATATGACATCTGCCTATTTGGGAGGATCATACATCATGTCAACATGGAGTAGTATTATCTGCCTGAAAATGAGCATGTTCATCAAATGGCCTTTAGACCTATGTTTAGTTGCAGTGTATATATTCATAATATACATCATGTGATAATTCCAGTTGGTTTGACCAGGATAAAATTTTTTATAAGTATACACTTGGTAGTTTGTATTACTTATTCTACTAAATAATCTATAAGGTGAAATGCATGTCTTCACCACATTTGACATATTACACACAAGTTAGAGAAGAAATGGCCATTGAAGTTAGTTGCCTGATATGTTTGGATATTTTTCAGTGTTCCAAACTGTACTACCACTGCTCTGCCAACATACAAGCCACAGATTGTGTTGATATACTGACCAAAACGGACTGATAAATTACACAGTACATTTGTTCTGAGGATGCTTATGTGAAATCAGAGGTCAGAGATGACTGCCTTCATTCTGTGAGTGAAATTTCTTAGACACAGCTGGAGATCTACTTCTGTTTACACCTAGTATATTGCCATTTGTCAGAATAAAGTTGGTATTCACTGGTTAGAGTGGTGAACTTGATGTTTTGCAAGATACTAATTGTCATGGCTTCTTCTGTGTACTGTGAACTTGACCTTTTGTTTTTGTACCCTTACAAGTATTATTAATCTTCACTCAGCCCTGAAAGAGTTGGGCTTGACCACTAAATCCTTTGGTGCAAGCTGTGTGCCATGCTTTCCCAAGTCATTGGCCACGATCAACTTGGGTTCCTTTAGTTTCCTGTAGATGTTGTGGAAGTGTTTAAAGTTTACTGTTGGTTCTCCTGATATCCTTGTGTACTTCTGGTTGTCTTGACCAGAGCTGGAGTTGCGTAGAGATCACCCCACTTGTTCTTAGTCTTGCTGGGCATCATTCCACCTCAGTAACCCTCAGTTGTCCATGTTTCCATTGTGCTGAGATCAGTCATCACTGGTAATGCCTGATCTGTTGTTCATACCATTTAGAAGTGTTGCCAAAGTAAAAAAAAGAAGCAATGGTACATTAATGATTTTTTTTTAAAAGAGTTATAATATGAAGTTGGTGGAATTAATATGTTGAATAACCAACCATTTTTAATTGTTACTGATGAAGGGTTTATTTGCTTGATAATTTGTATTATGGTTGATGAAGAAAGCACAACCACATTACAAATTTCCAATAAAAACTTGTCTCAGTTGTATGTGAAAGATGCAAGACTGCAGTAATTGGTTAGATTTTGAATGTCAGTGTCAAATGTCAGACATAGGTATCTGGCTATATTCAACAACAAACAGTTTCCTTAGCTTCACAGGACACTGGATCACAGGGATTTAAAACAAGCTGCTCTTAATGTCAAGCATTTTTGGAAAGTGTTGTAAGATGTAATGAATATATGGGAAATTGAAAAAGAAAAATATTCATCTCTCAATAAGAGTAAGCTCTTATTGAGAGATAGATATATTGAACAAATATTTTGAAAGATTCTGATGATGATGATGGATTGTCAAAAACCATGTTTCCTTCTCACATTACAACTTGTGATAATAAATGCTGGGAAATTCCAGTAAGCTGTAGTTGATTTTATATCAGTCGAGAGGTTGTTGTACATTTCAACCAAATGCTTGAGCATGTGAAAAACGAATAATTATACAAAATTATTTTAAATATGCCACAAAATAAATTTATACAAGAGATACAGACACAATGAAATTCAGCCTACTATCATCCTTGAAAGGTTTTTAGAATAAGAGAGCAGTACGCTTCTGTGCTGCTGATAACATCACCAACCTCAATATTACCAATGTTTCCTATTGGAGGCATGTATAAAATTTCTATAACTATTTGAATAAATTATTCAAAACATTAGCTACACTGGACTTGTAATTTTAGAAGTTGTCCAAACCGTGGCTTCGCTGTTGTCTGTTGAAGTTACTTGAGAGAAAGGTTTGAAACTAAATTTGCTGGGGTATAAACCTGTCCAAATTTCACCTCATCAAACTTATTGGAACCTTGCTTTAAAGTAAAGAAAAGTAGTATTTTTCAAAAAGAAACAGAACTAATCAGTGAAATAGTTTGACTGAGAATGAAGAGATACTGCCAGTTTCACAATAAGATGTAGCTCAAGATAAAGATGTGGTGGTGAAATAGGTGATCTCTCACCATTAAAACTACCACCACGTTTTAGAAGTTTATGGCAGAAGATGCATGACTTATTCTGGGTAGTATTTTGATTGAGGTTTGAGTAATAATATGAAGCAGGCAGCTAAGTTTATATTTTCAACTAATCTGTAATCAATTAAATAAAATTGCAATTTTTTTTTATCTCCATTCAAGATGGCCAGGTGGTTAGGGCACTCAACTTGCAATCTGAGAGTCGAATCCCTGTCCCATCAAACATGCTAGCCCTTTCAGCCGTGGGGATGATATAATGTGATGGTTAATCCCACTATTCGTTGGTAAAAGAGTAGCCCAAGAGTTGGTGGTGGGTGGTGATGACTAGCCTGCCTTCCCTATAGTCTTTCACTGCTACATTAGGGACGGCTAGTGCAGATAACCCTCGGGTAGCTTTGTGTGAACTTCCAAACAAAATTCTCTCCCATTCAAGATACACGTACTGTACAGAGGGACTTTTGTCATGTGCCAAAATTTCAAAAATATTACTTTAATTCAAGTCTTAATGCAGACAGCCAGTATTATGTTTTCTAACTACTGTGTAATCATTTAACTGAAATTATTATTTTGTGTCACTATTTATGGTAATAATGATATTTTAAATCTCTTTGTTTACACTCATGGTTCAAAGACATAACATTCTATTTATCTTATTTTGCTTTCCAAACTTTGTCATTTATACTTTGAGATTGTGTAGTATGTGTGTGTGCATCATACAGATGAAGGTAAGTTGTAAGTTAAAACACTTATGACAATAAATTATTTATAAAATTGGAATTAGTTGTGCTTTAATAAAAGAAATATAATCTAAAATTAGCTTCATTTCATCCAGATCATAGATAATCTTAAATTTTGAAAAAAAAAAGTTAAACATTTAAAAATACTTAAAATTATGTATTGGTTAAGTCAAAACACACTTTCAAAAATGTTAATCAGCAGCAAACATTTTGAATTTAAATACTTGACTAACTCTAACTTTTTTGGTAGATTTTTTTCTTTTGTAAAAATTTACAGCCTGCAAACAACTAAAGAAATATTTGAAACTATTATTATTATATTTTGAATAGGAAGAAACCTTAATATTCAGTAGATATAATTTATCTATTTTTCAGAGATCCAGCATGCATAGACTTGTCAAAAATTTTTGGATTTATTCTGAACATTCCCAGTGAGATGAAGTTCGGGTTTTTACAGCTACCTCTCAATCGTAAGCACTGGATAGCTGTTCGAGAAGTAGAAGGCAATTTTTACAATCTTGACTCAAAATTGGACAGACCATCCTGTTTAGGAAAGGTAATATTTTAGTTCATGTAAACTATCAAGAAATTAGAACTTTCCAAGATAGACCATCCTGTTTAGGAAAGGTAATATTTTAGTTCATGTAAACTATCAAGAAATTAGAACTTTCCAAGATAGACCATCCTGTTTAGGAAAGGTAATATTTTAGTTCATGTAAACTATCAAGAAATTAGAACTTTCCAAGATAGACCATCCTGTTTAGGAAAGGTAATATTTTAGTTCATGTAAACTATCAAGAAATTAGAACTTTCCAAGATAGACCATTGTGTTTAGGAAAGGTAATATCTTTGTTTATGTAAACTGTCAAGAAATTAGAAAATTCCATTATTTTTTTGGAAATGCATGTAACTAGGTAAATATTATACAATATATAACTTTTTGTAAGGCTTCAATGAAAACAATAACTGTGTGTATGTGTACATATTTTGTCTGTGTGAAAACAAAAACGATTGGTAATGTGCTCAAAAATCATTTAAGATAAAACATGAACAATGAATGTTTGAATTAACAGCAAGCCTAAGATACTTTAAAATGGGATAGTTTTGGATTTTCAGTGTTATGCTGTGACTTTGTTTGGAAACAATTTTATTTGAGTGGACGGAAAAAAATGGGATGGTTTTAGTTTCTTAGTGTTATGTTGTGACTGTGGTTTTGTTTTAGAACACCTTTAGATGAATGGCCAGCAAGCATCAGATACTTCAAGGTGAAAAAATAGATCTTAATGTTGTCAATGTGTTGCACTTTTAGCTGATGGTTTTGCATGAGGTGATGAAGAACTGATACTGACTGCCATTGTCTGTGTCATGAATTGGTGTTTGTTTTTGATATGGGAGGTGTATATTAACCTCTGTATACAGACTTCCTAAGATGTACAACCCTTATATTCATCTTTCAGTACTGTTAAAGGATAAACTAAAACTGAAAATGTAAAAATTAGTATTGTAATTTATCAAGAGCATGAATTATGAATGTTTCAGTTTTTCCTTTTACTCTTTCTGCATTTTTACACCATATATTTTTAACCTCGATAGTGGCAAGTAAAATTACTAGTAATGATTCATTACCCATTCTTGCTTATTAATTAGTAACTCCTATAAAAGAAACAAAACATGGTAAACCTAATGGTGGCATTGAAAATCAGAAGTAACTTACCTTTAGCATAACTAGAACATAAATTGATAAATATATTGGAAACATCTAAAAACTACACCAAGTCATTTTCCACACCAAAGTCATATAAAGTTCCATTGTGTGACAATCTGTACTGACATTACTGGACTGATGAGAATTAACATTGCATGAAACTGCATTTCTTAGCTGGTCATGCAATACATTTTGTTACTGTCAGAATTAATTTGTAAAATCACCAAGATACAAAATGCTAAACCTGGTGTTAAAACTAAAAATCATATTATTTATTACCCCTTTCTTGCATTATAAACTTTAAATTCAGTAGGACACAAACAGTTAAGTTGATGGTGACAACAACTTGTTTGTAAATATATTATTACAGGGACTACTTGCCTTTTGCATAAATGATTCCTACTGGTCTAAGTTAATGCTCAAGGATAAGGTATGAATTGTGGAAAACAACAGAATTGCAACTAACTAGACTATGTATTTTTCTTCATAAATTGATAAAAAGCTCTTAATTTCATTTTTTTTCAAAAAATTAAGGTCTTGTTAAAACCCAGAAATATTTTGTTAATTTGATTCTTACTTTTTGAAATGTATAACCAATAGTAGTATGTCATTTTACAGCTAGTGTGTAATATTCTCATGTTGTGGAGAAAGCAGTTTTCATTTTTAACATGGAAGTGATAACACAACTTTTGACATACAGAAACAATTAAAAAGTCATGTGAGTATAAATTTACTATGTTCTCTCTCTCTTTTTTATTATTAGGAACAAGAGCTCCTAAGTTACCTACAGGAACAAATCCGATCTAAAAACCGTGAAATTTTTGTAGTTATGTCTCAAGAGGTTGAACAGAGTGGTATTTGGAGAATGGACAGAAGAAAAAATGTTAGCCAGTTACCAGTGCTGCATCATGGAAATGATATCCAGCAAGAAAGAACATAAAATTCACTGCTGCTTTTAACAATTGTTGAAGTGATTATGGTGCAATTATTAATTTCTTCTATAATGGGGATTTAATCCCCAAGATTCTGTGGTGTGCTCTCAGAAGACAGTCAAGTAGTCTTGTGAACTGCTTTTTAGTAGATGGTTTAACTTCTTCTAAGCAGTCAAAGGTAAGGCCATCCAAATGAAAATATATTTCTGTTTAAAAGGTGTAGTGCACCTGGTGGATATGCAAATCACAATATTTTGTATGTTACTTCTTTTAAATAAAGTTATATATTGTAAATTAAAAAATATGTTTTAAGTGTGCTGAGGTATATAAAAGTGTTAAAAGTTTGGCAGTTAACTTTAAATAGTCATTGTTGGAAGACCCTTTAAAAGAAAATATTGTACAAAGGTTATGATTTTATAAGATAGTACATGAGAGTTAAATATATATGTAATATTAATGAATCAGAATATACATTTATATTGATACAGTAACAAGGGACTTTACTGTGATTTTGGGGAAAATGTAGCTTTCATACATTTGTACATAAACTAGAAGTTTAAAATAATCAATATTTGTTAATGTGTGTGTGTGTACTTTATATAGAAGTTACTATGGTGTTTCAATAAAAGACAAGAGTCATAATTTATGTGTATTTGTTTTAACTTACTGTTTTATTATTATCAACTTTTGTAGAGTAAGCTTCAATAAACTGTTCTTGAAAAAAAATATAAGTAGATTATGTAGCAGAGAGAATAAATTAGCAGTGAATTGACTTACTTGTAACCTTCTTTCATAACCAGTAGACATAAAATCAGAATATTTTCAACTTGTAAATTTTTTTGGCTATCAAATTTCAAGTATCCATTAAGTTTCAAATAACTTTGAAAAGGATTTTATGACACTGTAATACTTATTATGTAACTACATACACAGTCAAATATTTAGAACATTACATAGAACCATAATCCTACTGTTTGTTAAACATGTTTTGTATAGAAAGCAATGTGTGAAGAGAATATGCTGAAGTTCAAAGTTATTCAAAAATGTTGTTTTTCTCTCAGAACTGACAAATATTCTTGTCATACTTAAAAGCTTCACACCATTTTTGTGGTACAGATAATGCACTTGAGTACATTCTGTAGGTGTTAGATTGCTGATTATGACTATATTCTTGTACTAATACTTAGCCTGTGCATGCTAAGAGTAAATTTTTGGCTGGAGCTATATTTATCTTACATTCTCATGTTAATATTTTAAAATAAATACGTTCTTCATGTACTTAACTGAGCTTGAGTGCATTGTTATTTAGTTCGTAATAAGAAATAAGTGAAAGTGAGAAGCATGTATAAAAATATATCAACCACACCGTATTGTCTATATTCAGTGCTGATTTTGTTACTGACACTGATCTTAAGGATGTTTTTCTTGCTGACAGATGTAGTGATTTATTGTAGGGTGAAATGAAAGAGAAGATATAGTGTTGTGGTCAAAATAAAATGTTTTATTATAGTGTAGACATGTTGACTAATTGTTGTAGCAAGAGGACTATATCAAATAACAATGTGAATAAGTAAAAGTGATGAATTTGTATTTATTTTACTACGGATTGAATGCTTTAGCTGGGAATGAAATGGAGTAATTACACAGCACATTGAAATGAGAATTGGATTTCAGCACATCTTAGTGTTCTCACCCATGAAATGAACTGTCTTCCTAAAAACTGAGAACAAATCTCTTGTTAAACTGCCAACACTATTCACAATATATTTTCTCTCTCTGTAGCTGAGCAATCATAAAAAGGGAACCTGAATGTGACATTTCTTTAATGGCTACTCGACAGATAAATTCACCAAATAAAGAAAAGGCCCAAATCTGAGCAAGAACTAACTTAACTCAGGATTATATTCAACTCTGAAGCTCTTCCTGCACTACTCAGAACATCATGTCATCCTCATCATCAAACACAATGCATTCACAGAAAAAAAAGAGAGATACCAAGGTTTTTACTTCTCTATTTGCATATGTTAGACAACCTGCCAAGAGCTCTGCTCAAGTTATCCAGCAAGCTGGCCAGGTGTGAAGGACAAGTCTTGGGTTTGGTGTGTAAACGTGGGAAAAAAGGACCTATGGGCAAAAGTAGCATTGTTCAAAATAGGGCACATTCTGTTTGTCTACATCTTGTAACTAAGTGCAAAAACATGTACTTAATTTTTTTGTATTGTATTAATAAAAAATTGATCAATATAATATGCTATAGAAGGGTTTAGTTTGTGTTAATATCACAACTCTTCCACATTATTTGAAGCTGTCCCAACTTTAAACTGAAAATCAACTGACACAACAGAATTGTAACCTAGAAAACACTAAATTTCATGACACGCAAGACAATGTGTAACACATACAAGCTTACTACAGCAAACAAACAACTTTCACTTTAATAAAAATAAAATTATAACAAAAATAAATTCAATACCCTGCCATACTAATACAGTAAGAGCACAATACACATAATGAAAAATATGAAAATTTACACTCCAAGCTCAATGCTAGGCCTGGCACGGCCAGGTGGTTAGGGTGCTCAACCCACAATCTGTGGGTTCGACTCCCTGTCACACCAAACATGTTCGCCCTTTCAGCCATGGGGGCATTATAATGTGACAGTCAATCCCACTATTCGTTGGTAAAAGAGTAGCCCAAGAGTTGGCGGTGGGTGGTGATGACTAGCTGCCTTCCCTCTAGTCTTACACTGCTAAATTAGGGACGGCTAGGGCAGATAGCCCTCGTGTAGCTTTGCGTGAAATTTATAACAGTCAAACAGCTCAATGCAGGTTTTCTAACCACACACCCCAGCAGCTTCTCTTTACCTCGTACTTCATCATCTTGGAAACCTATCCATGTTAGCAAAGTCAAAATTAGAATTTACAAGGGTGTTACAAAGGAGCACAGAAATGCTCAAACTCAATAATAACAAACCCTTGATCATGACATCAAAATTGTTTTTAATAATTTCATCTGTGGTATTTTAAAGTACACTTAAATCCAACAAGTAAATTACTAAACCACAATAACTGAAAGTTGAATAAGGTTTCCTTAGCGGAGCTGTAATCGAGTCCAATTAGACCAGACATGAAAGAAATGCAAAATGTTTAATAATCAACTAGAATGTGATCAATTTGAGGAAGGAAGACAATAACACTTAACTCTTTGATTGTCTGGAACAGTTAGTTTAGTTTAATGGTTGCTGGAGTATGAGCAGACAAAGACGAGCCAAGAATTTGAGCAAGAATAAACTCTCTTAGGTGCCAAGTTATCACCATTAACAAAAACGGGAAGGCACAATTTTCTATCTCCACTTATCACCCGTCTACCACACACACCTACCATGATCTGGCCAGGTGCGAAAGATAGACAAATACCGGGCTAAGCCTAAAAACCGTAAGACAGCAGAATTTGAATTGTTCAATGCAGAGTACATACATCCTGGTTACTTAGAAGTTGTAACAAAGTTTAGAAACAGCAGTGGCCAGGGTTTGCTTCCTGTTCCTTTGTAACATCAAGTGTTACATTCCTAGTTAACAAGGGAAACTATAGTTCACTCTGATACCTTCTTTCATAGATGAGGACATACTAACAAGTAAAGAGCTTTCATAAGTCCAAAATAAAAATTACCAATAAAACCAACCATTCCTCATTGATTTCTGGTAATATATCACTGCAGTTATGAATGCAAACTGAATTATCTATCAGTAATTGGGTAAAAGGATAAATTAGTTTTACTTAGCCTAGTTTCTACATAACATGTTATTTATTCCCTGAAGAAGGTTGTCTGTTAGACACATTACAAAATAAAACAAATCACAAATTTTATTTATATTCATATTTTATTTCACACATAATTAACTTTACAACTACTTTATTTCACACCTATTTTATTCCACGTTACTGAAATTGTGTTAAAATTATGGTGTTAATCTCTCTCTACAGCCTCAGTGTTGTTGATACTCTTGAGTTCTTGATACACCACATTAGAAGTTGTTATTGGTTCAAAATATAAGTTTCTTGGTGATTCTATTCTTGAACACCCAACATAGGACTGACCATGTGAAAAGCAAGGTTTTCAGATGTAGCCCTGCCACTTTAAGGGTCTGACCTCGTGCTTTGGTTGCCGTTTTTTCCTGGTAAAAATGTGAATGTTTGACATTTTTAATGAAAAAACTCAAAATTTTCCAAGAAAAAATAAAAAATAATTCAAGAACAACCTAAAACAATTTAAGGAAGTAAAAGTGGTCCAAGACCTGCAAAAATAATAAAAATGTAAACTCTTCTCAGAAATACACTATTTCCTGATACAAGTGATATCTTTGTATTATTTTGACATTCAACTACGTATTACTAATCCATATGTTGTCTAGTTAGTTTACAAATTTTAACAGTATTATTTGTATGTGACGTCATTTGCTAGTTCTCTAATATGGAATTTTAGCATATGATTTTAATAAGACAAAAATGTCAAAACATTATGCTATGTATTTCTGTATGGATCAAAATTGTGTGTGTGAAACAGCTACCCAAACTGGTAGTAACAATTAACATTCCACTTCTCTACCACAATTTTTATTAAGTATTTTCTTTACATCACCAGATATGGAAAATTAAATAAACTATACATTACCTCTTCACATCAAGAAAATGATTAGCACTGTTTCATACAACAACAGTTAAGATTGCACTAACTTTTAATAAGTATAATAAATTTACATGTGCATTTCTTATTTTCTACAATTATAAACAAATGGCAGAGTCTTCTTGATACTACACATAATTTGACTGGAAACTTTTTTCATCAAGATGAAATAAGAAATCTAAACAATACAATGGCATGATCTGGTTCATCCTCAATTCATTTCGCAGAAAGCAACAAAATTAAATTCATGATTTTTAGGTAACACAACTTTTAAGTGAATAATATGAATCTGAGTTATATTTCATGCTTATTTATCTTCATACATTCTTTTTATTTTATTTTATGAAAGCCAATAAAAGCTTCAAAACACATTATGAAGACACTTCAGTAGCATTTAGTGATTATACATAACATTAGATTGGTACATAGTTTTATCATTTGTTACAAACTGTGGCAAAAATTACAAGTATGAAATTCTAAAACATCTTTATTATAATATATAGTGTTTGAGACTTGCGTATGAAACAAATAGTCAAATATCTAAAGAAAAGGATGATGATGAATGTTTTTTTTTTGTATAGTGGAATATTAAACAGTTCCTCTTAGCAACATTTTCAATTAGTGTAATTCATTATTTTCCAGTGGTGTCTTGTTTGGTGCAGAAGTTGCTTTCAATACCAAATCTCTTTAACCTTTTGGATGAATATGCTTTCAAATAAATACACCACCAAATTTACAAAAGGATTCCTAGTGTTAAATGACCACATTTTATATTACAGGGAAACTGCAGTTTTGGTCTGTTCACAAGACATACATGTAGGTACTTGTAGAAAAAAAAATCTGTCCTGACAACATGCAGGCCAACATCAATCACTCAGTTTATTAAAGAATGAGATCAAGAGAGGGATTTGAATAGTCATGAAAATGTGTAAAAAATAAAATGTTACACATTTCCATATAATTACTACATTTGAGCAGATATAAACAAAGTTTACTTTTAAAATTGCTAGCTGAATGGTTTTAAACTTAATTTATTGGATGTTGAAGTCCTAATAATATGAAAACTTCAGTTGAAGTTTTCAAACATCCTGTACATTTCTGATACAACAATACATACATACTCATTCAGATCTTTATATATTTTCAACAACATCATATATATTAACAGTTTAATATAATCAAATGTTTAACTTAACAGTATTTACATTACTTTTAACAAAATCAACAGAATTACAAGGAATGCTTTATTACAGCAGTCATTTCAAATCTTACATACAAATCTCAATATTCGGTATTTCCAAGCTAGAACCATATTTCTTGTACATGTATCTTCCACCTTCAAGAAGGTATAATTCAAAGATCTGGTTTCTATATTAAAAGATTTCCCCTACATTTTTTTTATTATTTAATTACAGTTTGATACAGAGAACACAAGATTGCTCATAAAATATCATTGTAGTAGTGCATGATAGTTTTATGGAGAATTAAGTGTATTAATTTTTTTAGTGATAAATTATTGAATTGCTTTCATTGTACTCTGTTGAATTACACGTATTATGCTAATATATTTGTGATGAGAAATAAAACACTTAGGTTACAAGTATTTCTGTGGTTAGACCCAAGATGTAACAGCCTCTTCTTTCTTCACAACAAGGACCTAGAGATAACAATATAATAAATAAGCAACCAGAAGAAAACCACACTTTTCATTCCATGCAACTATTCATGAACTAATCAGTAGAAGTACTCACAAAACATTCAATCAATAGTGATTGTAATGCATTTAAAAAAACCACAGCTAATAAAAATAATGTAATAATATCATATATGAATCTTTTAAACTTTCAAACTAATTATTATTACCCATTGTATCAAAATTTATATATTGTTACGTATATGCTCGTTTGTTAATTTCCGGTATAAATTCTTTCCGAGAAACTTCAGCGATACAAGTCCTTTTTTAATTAAAACTAGTTTATTCTTTCTCGATACAACTTTGTAATACATAGAATTTCCACAGTCACTTTAAACTTAACAACCTTTATAACACACACTATAAATCACAGTAATTTACACACTTTACTTTCGGTGTCTACTGTTCACTTGATTCAATTATCTCTATCTTCAATCTAACTGCATATCTATCTATCTATGCAATTGTGCTCGTTTTTCTCTCCAAGCTTATATACTAAAAAAGAGGGCGCCACGAACAAATTAGAGTTGCCAGGAAAATTCATGATCCTTCCAGTAACTCCAGCGCACATGCTCCCATCATGATTTTCGCTGTCGTAACAATATCTATGATAACATCAAATTGTTCGTAAGTATGTTCAGTAGTATATGAGTATTTTTATTACTTACAGACAAAAAAAGATGAAGTGGGCAGCAATTATCAAGTTCAGAGTGACACTTGAGGAGCAAGTCTTGGAGGAATAATCTACAAAAGTAGTGCAGGTTTCAAAAGACTTCTGTAATTAGTTCACCTTACACAAGCCAGTGTGCATATGTTTCAGACCTGTTATCAATGCCATAAACTCATCTCTCAATCACTTAGCTGCTTTTTTTGGTATCACCACTACACGGTAATACTGAACATCACAACCACAAATCAAAACATTCCACTGAAGAATTCAGAGCCCCACATGTTAGATTTCTTCTTCAGTTTTGGTGTCACAGACCTGTTCACTAATGTTTCAACTGCAGAAACCAATCACATCACCAAACAATGGCTGTTGAATGATAATTTTCTTGCATACAGAACTGACGTGAAGATAGAAGCTATTATACAACTAACCACAGTTTGTCTACAATCTACATATGTTCACTACAGCAATGTTTTCCTTGAGCAAACAGATTGCCTTGCCATGAGATTACCACTCTCCTCAGTTTGGCAAAAATGTTTATGAAAGATATTGAACAAAACATTCTTTCCTCTACAGACAAAAAAAACAGCTTTCACAGAAGTTACTCTTGTTATCTGACCCTATAGTCATAAAAACTTACTAGCTTTCTTATAACACCTTAATTCCATAGACAACAGAATCCACTTCACCATGGAAATAGAATAACAGCTTGTAGTTCCTTGAAATTTCATTCAGCAGACAAACTCACTACAACCATATACAGGAAAACAACTTGCAACCATATACAGGAAAACAACTTGTATTGATAGGCACATTTCCAGTCTTTTAAAACACAGTATGATGTGTAAGCACTTAGTTTTCATAGAATTTTCATTAGAGATGTTTTCAGCTCTGTTGTTCAAACATGGTATTTCATAAGTGACATTTTTGTATTTGTCATCAGATGTTATTTAAAGGACAGAACTGAGTGTTTTTGCACATACAGGAGGTAAAGAGGTGGACATATTTTCCTTCTCTGTTTGGTCCATTCTGATGTATGTAGGAAAGAAAATTTATATTATAATAATAAAAAAAAATTCTCTTAAAAATAATTTCTCATACTAATAAGTTCAGCTCATCCAATTAGCTTTAATGTTATCTTGAGGTTACTGCAATCAGTATATAGGTTGTTAAACAAGTTAACACTTAAGACTACTACACTAAAAATAACTGCCATTTTTATCTGCTATATCATAATTTGTTTTAGCTGAACTTTAGCTGCAGTGAAATGAGTTGTAACAAAAATGATCAAACAATTATTTCTACAGTAATACATACAATGATCCTGCGGCTATTCCTTTGTGTCAAATAAATTTGTCATCAAGTATTCATTTAAATTCTTTATAATAGAGGGGAAGTTTGTGCAAGCTTGTTTGTTTAATATTATTATCCTAGCCTGATTGAAGAAAGGAATACCAGCTAATTGTGAGAGAGTGTGTGTACTGTCTATACATACTAATATTCTAAATGAAGGAAAACATAAAGGTCAGTAAAACGTCATAGGCAAGTACTACTATATTAGTTTCTATGTGCATATTATGATTGCATAAGCTAACTTAGTAGATGTTAAGTTAATTTATTACATGGCATTGTTTAACACTTTTGCTACAGGTAGGCTTAATCTCATCGTTAACCAACAGCAAAGAGGTCATAGGTAAGTATGATATTTCTTGTTTTTCATGTGTATCCTTTATTTATTATTATAAAACTAAAATGTAAAAATTTGAAACTTATTAGGTAAGATAATTACAAACAATATAAAGAAATAAAAATTCTTCATGAGATATGCCCTTGAGAAGCTCGTGCATCACAGCATTCAATATGGTAACATGATTTATGTGTTCATCAAGTGATTTACAACTTGTATGGTGGGATTATTAGTTAGATGCAGTTCAAAGGTTAGTAATATGATAAAACTGAGTATAAGCAGATGTATACTGTTATTAGCATAAAGCTATTTAAGATAAACAATTGTTTCTTGTTACAATTTGCAGTCATTTTAGAAAGAAAAAAGGGTAACTTAGATTTATTTTTATTTATTTATGGTGGTTACAAGATTGGTCAAATCGACCAAGTATTATAGAGTTTGGGTACAGAAAACAGTTAAAATATAAAGTTTTACTGAAAAAAACATTTGATATTTATTAAAGAAATCTTAGACATTACATAAATGCAATTTGACAATTTTAAGATGATGAAAAGTATTTCTAATATTAAGAAGAAAATCACTTTGCACTTGAAGCAGTCAACATTCTGATTACATATTCTCACAGACAAATCTTTAGTAAAAATACTTAATTAAAAGATTTGTAATGTTTATTAAAAGCTTGCCAAATACACAAACTATAATAAACGTTATAATATACAAATTCTGATGGCTATTTTTTTATTACAAGGCCTGTCACATCGACCAACCCCATAAAAAAGTATTAAAATTATTAATTACAACCTATATTTAATTTTATAGTTTATGTTATACTAGCCTGTCTTAGGATGATTCAAATAGTCATTTCTGTCCTTCATAATCCATTGTAGTGTTGTTGAGAAGACTGACTTGATGATGAAGCAGATGGAAGTTTTGAACCAGATTTTCCAAAATGGCTTGAGGTACTTGTTGAGTTTTCCTGTCCATCAAGACTGTCTGCTTGTTTGCTGCAATACATTGTCTTTTTTTCTCTCATAATCTCATAATTCGGCTCACAAGATTAGCTATTCTTATTCAGTGCTGCCCTCTATATGCAAACCTTTTCTTTATGCATGCCACAAGCCTTGCACTCCCACCTTGTTGGAATTACTATATTCATGTGTCATCTCTTAACCAATGGTAGTATGACATGCTACACAACTCCCTCTATACTCCTCTACCGAACAATCACTTGTATGTTTGGCAGATGTCAACACCAGAGAAATGTGGGGAGGAATGGTAGGAAGTGTGAGTGGAGGGAAGTACCTATCAGAAATACATTTTCAGTATAGGAAAATTATAACTTCCGATACAATACTTACCTCCTCTCACAATATTAGCTATAATCCCCACATTCAAAAGGAGGAAAGAAATGAAAGGGAATGAAAGAAGTACCCCTGAAAGCGTCTGAAGTATACCCCTGACTACGAGAGATATAGATAGGATGAGGATCATACTGTCTTCACCTCAAACCCAAGAATTGGGGATTAAGACCCGCACCAATTTCTGGGTATGCCACAATGATCATCACTGATCTATTGATCCGGGAATAGACAAGGATCACACTGGAATAATCCCATGTACGAACACTGTGACCAAAGACACAGACTGAGCAATTGAGGGAGGGACACAGACAACCTGTACTCATGTGAGGACTTATGTTGCTTGAGTCACTCCAATCCCAAACCTCTATGCTGGGAACTGACTTTCACGTAAAGGTAGTATGAGGTCTCCCAATCGAGGGAGTGAACTGCAATTGCGACAGCTGAATTCCAGTGTGTATGTAAAGTATATCAGGAGGCCATGTAATGCTATAAGGTGACGGCTCAACTCCAATATTTGTGAAAAACAAAGTGGGAGGCCACGTCATGCCGTAAGGTGACAGCTTAACTTCCTTAGTTGCATAAATAGTATCAGGTGGCAATGACTCAGCTCCAGTGGGTGTCTAATAGGTATCAGGATGCCATGCCAACCAGAAAGTGATGGCTCAACTCCAATGGTTGAGTAAATGTAAGTAGGAGGCCATGTAATCTGAGAAGGTGATGGCTCAACTCCAGTGGTTGTGTAAATGGAAGTAGGAGGCCATGTCATCTGAGAAGGTGATGGCTCAACTCCAGTGGTTGTGTAAATGGAAGTAGGAGGCCATGTCATCCAGTAAGGAGATGGCTCAACTCCAGTGTGGTTGTGTAAACATGATTAGGAGGCCATGTCGCATGTACACTAGCAGAACACCATCGTCCTATTCTCAGTGAAATGGTTTGAATATTTTTTAGCATAGAACTTGTTCAGGAGGGTGCCTCCTTGGTCAACCACACCAGCAGCTTGGAAATGTAAGGAATTTCACACTCCACTCAAGGAAAGGAGGGTGACAGTATGGTGGAGAGCCCAAAGGAACATCATCACAGGAGACAGTGCAATGGGTGACCATGGAACCCTATTTTGAAAAGCAGACCATACCTGGTTATTCACTCGAGGCAGGGATGGGCAGAAATCCCCTTCTGCTTTACCCATGTAGTCCATGAGTGGTATGGTCTGGAACGGGCATGTTTATGAAGCAACTTATCACAAGGTAATTAACCATCAAGCAATCTTGTGGAACACCCTATCTCACCAGCGATTGTGCGGAGTCATGGATGAGAGAGCACAAGTCAACATGGCTGACAGTGCAGATTTAGAGTTAACGAATACCTGGTCAAGCTCCACTCACCACAAAGTGGGATCCATAAAATGAGAAATGAAACAAGGGCCCCTGAAAGGAAAAGAGAAGTATTAATATAAACTAATCCAGTCAAAGTTGCACTGCATCATGAAAAATGGCTGCAGGCAGAAGACGAGAACCTGATGAAAAAGAAAAAAAAACAACGATGTAGATGAAATATAGGGAGACAAATGTATGGGCTACAGAAGGATTTTCTCAAACAGATGATGCAGATTGTGAAACATGATTTGAAGAAACCATGAACAAAGTCCGGCAGGATAACATAAGAGAGGAATTAGCCAGTTGAAACAAATGCCGAACCCATTAGGTGAAGATGGGAGGAAAGAGATCAAAAAAGAGGATGTTATCATGGAATAAAGAAGTGTGAATGGGCACCATGGATGGAAGCTGTGTGTGCAATGCAACACCGAAGAGCACGTACAGGACATAGAAAGCTATCCAGATCATAACGAGGTGGAAGTGGGAAATGGAAAGCAGTAAAAAGGAGGAGGAACCTTCCCATGCTGCAGAGGTGTGAGAGAGGAAAGAACGATCTGGAAAAGGAGAAGATATGTATGAAGATAAAGAGTATGTGAAACATCCGTGGCAAAAAAATCCCACCATTGACATCCCACTGCCAATAGTAGGAAATTAGTCTGAAAGTAATGGTGAAATAAGGATCATGTGGAATGTGGATCACATGGAGGCAATGGAGGAATACCTGAATATCCCAGTCTGGAAGGGCAGCCTGCCTCAGTTTGGTGGCAGAAAAAGGCTATCAAATCTTCACCAGAATGAACAGGGTCAGATTGTTCACGAGGAAGTGGGGGCAACATCAGGAGAAAGTGTTAGACCCACATAACGTTCAATCTCCTGGCGAAAAAATCGCTGATAAATCCCATGACAAGTTGCCCCCATCTGCAGCAATGGCAAAAGAGTGCTCTTGGTAGGTGTGTTTGATAAATAACACAATTTGCAAGAAAAAAAAAAGACTGGTAAGTAATTAGAAATAAATTTGTCAGCTATATAAGCAAAAACTAGTAGAAAACCACAGCAGCAATGAAATTGTTAAAGTTACTACGATGAAGCACCCAAGAGCATAGTTCAAAACATTTGAACAGGAGTACTGCCAAACAAGAAACGAAGGTTCGGTAGAGGAGTATAGAGGTGGTCACATGTGTCACGTGAGCATGTCATGCTACTATTGATTAAGATATGATGCATGATGATTTGCATGAGAGACATGTTGGTAGAGGAGTATAGAGGTGGTCACATGTGTCACGTGAGCATGTCATGCTACTATTGATTAAGATATGATGCATGATGATTTGCATGAGAGACATGTTGGAATATAGTAATTCCAACAAGGGGGAGAGCACAAAGCTTGTGGCATGTGTAAAGAAAAAGTTTGCATATAGAAGGCAGCACTGAACAAGAATAGCTAATCTTGTGAGAAGAGGTAAGTACTGTATCGGAATTCTTTTGTGAATGAAATATTTACATAATTCTGAATAAAAGTAATATCTTTTGTACACCATGCTAAACTTAGTTCTGTGTAAAATCAAATTACACAATTATCGAAAAAAGATTATGTAGCTGGATATATGTAGTTATAATAGTTTTCAGACGAATATAAAAGATTTGTTTGTTTGTTGAATTTCATGCAAAGCTACTCAAGGGCATAGTGCTTAAACCTTTACTATACTTACCGCTGACCAAATTTATCTACTTTAATTGGTTACTTTTGTCTCAATTTTATCATCTTTGTTATATAACTTCTTGAGAAAAATGAATTTTCACACAAAGAACAATTTACTTGAATGTTTCATTTGTATTTGAAGACTAAACTGTACTCGTTGAGTTCATATTTTATTTTTACAATACTGTTTATTCTTTTTTAAATTTTACAGTAAGTTATATAAAAAATTCCATATAACATTTATAAATACATTTTAACCTTAAATATATATATTTAAATATCTTAAATGTATATCAAAGTTCTCACCCTTGATTAAAAATATTTTTCCAGGACATTTTATAGTCTTGCATCACCCCTCATATGTACCCGATCCTCACATCTTTTCAGTACTTTTTAAATTTGTTTAATTAAACAAATTTTCATTCAGTTGTTCAATGAAATGATTAACTGTTATTAAATCATATAATACACTCATAAAGTGAGAATTCCATGACTTTTAGAGTCCTAGAAATTAACTTTGAAAATTTTCAGGTTTTCCATGATATATATCCCTGTATATGCATTTTCCTGAAGCCTTATACATACCCAAAAAATGGTAAAATTGATAAAAACATTTCTTTGTCTGCATTACTGGCTAAGTCAGGATTATGTTGAAGAAACCAGTTCACTACACAACGTAAGTAATGTTGTAATCTTCGCCTTCTTTCTTCTACAACTTTTGAATCCTGTATGAAGAGTTCAAAAAATAATATACTGAACATGGACAGTCCACTGAAAAAACCAAGGACTTGGTAAGTAGCAAAAATCGGTATTGTATAACAATTAAGACATCAGTAATTTATAATACAAGCAAAAGATCTACAAAAATATTATTTTGAATAACAACACAGATGTGTATATTTACTTCTCATGTACAAGGGGAATGTTTAATAATACAGTTTACTTTTTTAACAACTACTTTTAAAATTCTGTTTATTTGTCAAAAGAAAAAATATGAGAACAGTCTTGGTATTAGGAAATCTCCATAAAATAGTGGTTTATTTTCACAAATTTAAATGTCAGCTCTGTTTAATTAAACATCATAAATAACATCTGGAAGTTGTTCCTTCTAAAGGGCAGTTTTTCTAACTGAGTACCACGCTGTGATCAAAGCCAGTTTTAGCAGTGATTATTTTATTTTAAGGTCCAAATGCTTAATACAAGAAATAATAAAAGGGAAACTTTTATGAAAAGAGAAAAAGGAAAAAGAATTAGTAACACAACACTATTTTACTAAGTACCTTATTCCCCACAGATTTTTTTGGAGGGAAGTCAAAGGAGTTCACTATAGTATTCCTTCTCTTGAGAGCCTTATGAAGAGCATAGAACTGAGCATATCTTCGATAAATGTTCCATTCTTCATCTTTAATACGAATATAAACCTGTTTGGAATAAGGGACTCCAATCACCTTTAAAATAAAGTAGCTTAGTAGATTTTGAATTTTATGCATGTACGACTGATACAGCATGTCAGTTGTAAATCTAGTTCATACAGCATTTCAAACTCTAATAAGTAATCACACAAGTCCAAGACTCAATATTAGTTGAACTGAAAACCTCAAAACAACAACTGACAATTGGTCATTTGTTGACCATTTGACTGGATATAGTAAATCTTCCAAAATTTCATCTTTACATTCTTTTACAGTTATTATAGGCTTTAATCTTTTCAAAGATAAAAAAAAGATATGTAATATTGGTACTGTAACATTTAAAAACATGATATACATTTTACCGCTTTCCTTATGATGGGAAAAGATTATAATTATTCTACTTAAAGACTTAACTGAGCCAAATGAGAATTTTTTTCATCATACACGCATCTTTTATATAATAATGGTCATTTAACTTTCATCCTACACAAATATAATTTAAAGAAGAAATAAAAAATGTGACATTTCATAAAAATCTTTTTTATATATTATCTTATCTGCTACACAATTAGATTTATCAAAATACAAGTCACACAAGGAATCTAGTAATAAATCAGTTACTTACATCAGTATAATTTTTCACCATTGTAAACAAACCTCACAGTAAATTAGTATAGGAGGTTTTTTATGATATTTTACGATCTAACAAAC